GCCCTTCCTTCAGACAAGATCTCTCTCTTTCTTCTCTTCTCTTCCTTGCCTCTCCTTCCTCATGATCAGAGTGCTGTATTCAGGAGGGGCACGTAGGCCAGCCGCCTACACACAAGTAACTTCCTGTCTGGGAGACAAGACAGTTAAAAAAGCAAGGACAGGACCGTAGGGAGTGTGGCCAGCATGAAAGGGAGACAGGCCCTCCCAAGGTGCCATTAAGGCCTCCTATGGGGTAGTCCAGGTGCTTCTGCCCTGTCTTGAGCCCCAAGGTGGCAAGCTTGCCCACGTGGCAGCTCAAGGGTGTGTTGGCATGCCTCTCTCAGGAGCGGTGTGTCTCTGAACCAACTTCCAAGTTAAACTTCTAGAGTACAGAGGTGTGCCGGTCCATAAATGTAGCTCCCAGCATACCCATGCTCAGCTCGAGGTTTGCTGAAGGAAGCTGAACAGAAGCAAGTTTATTTTGTGACCAGCAGATCTCTCCTTAGGAAATATACGGTGACAACCACCGTTAGCTTCCTTTCTCCGTGAGATTCTGTGTCTCTGTCCCCTCATCCACACCCCTGACCTCCTCAGCAATAGAACCCTCTTGGTGGCTGCGATGGGACTCAGTGTCCACAGTAGGAACACAGAACCAGAACATCTGGGTATCTCCGAAGCTGGCCAGAATCCTCAAAGCTGGCCTCTGTTCTCTCCACCTTCAACATTTTGATGCCTTTCATACTTCCTTTCCTCCCCAACACAGAGTGGGCCTGTAAGTCCATGCTCACTGTCCAGAGACTCTAACACCAGCTGTGTCAACCAAAGACAAACACAGGCAGAGTCAGACACAGCACAGGACAGCCAGGCACTTCCACACACAGTCCCACGTGTGCGTCCTTCACGTGACCCTCCTTTCTCTAAGGCCCACTCTTTCCTTGCAAATTAGAAATAATCTTGCATTGTTAGCTGTTGGGGAGCAAGTTAGAGTTATAAATAGCTACCAGTTCAAAGTACCATCTTCCTTTGCTCCCCACAAGAAACCGGTGGGGCTGGTTTGAGTTCACAATAGGAGTGGGCTCTTGGGAGACAAGTAGCCCCATCATTCCTGAAAGACCACCACAGTCCCCACTCCTACTTCACAGGCACTCTCTGGCCCGAGACCACATTCTCCAGCAAGTTTACACAGTCAGCTCCACACTCACTACCCACGAGAGCGCAGGGGGTTCAGGGTTGTGAAATCAATGTTGAAAGGGCGGGCTTTGAGCTAAGCTGGTGTGAGGCACACCCACGTATGTGCTCTGTGCTCGTGTCCAGCTTATTCCTTACTTCCTCCTTTGATGTTCCTCTGCTGCTTCCTGCGTGGAGCTGGGGGAAACATACGAAGGGCTGGAACTTGTGGCTGACACTCAAACCGTTTCGGCGAATTACTCGACCATTCTATGCCTTGGTGTTCTCAGCACCGTATGGGAATTCTACCGTAACGATCTCACCAGTGTTTTAATAAGGCTTATAATAGTATCTGGTGTGTAGTCAGTGGTCAATAGCTGCTCGCTGTTATGATGTGTGTATGAAAATCCTAGGGATGACAGCATTCTCCATGGCATTACTGCCAAGCCCCTGGCTTCGGGGGTTTGCTGTAGAACTTCTGGTCGCAGAAGAGAAATGTTGGAGCCCCTGTCTCTCTGTGCTCTGCAAGGCAGAAGACTCTTGTCCCTTCCTGTAGGCGAGTTCCCAGCAGAAGCCGATGAGGTCACTCACTGTGTGCTGAACACTCTTGAGGACCTGCTGTGTTCCCTCTCCAGAGGAAATCAAAGGCACCTTGTCTTTCACTGTGCTAGAATGTCTTAGCATTGATCATCTTAACCATCCCTAAGTGTCCAGTGATCCAATGTCTCAGAATTAGAAGTCGCCTCTGTTCTCTCTACCCAGAGTTGCGTTGCTTACAGAGACTCTCTATGCCCAGCAAACATGAAATCGCCCTTCTCTTCCCCCCAAACACACTGACCTCTATTCTGCTCACTTGCCCTATAGGGAAAGAATTTTTGTTGCAGTAAAATATCCATACCACAAACTTGAACAATTTTAGGTGTGTAGTTCAGTATCGACAAGCATCTTATACTGCTGGGCTATGGCCAGAATCCATCTCAGCTTGTTACACAGCCGTGTGATAGCTACCGTCCACCTCAGGAACATTTTCATCCCCCACAGTGAAATTTCAGAATCATTAAACCCTAACTCCTGGTTCCCAACTGCCTTTAGGCCCTGGCAGCTGCCCTTCTGCTTCCTGTGTCCACAAACATGCCTGTTCTTGCAATCTGAGTCCTACCGCGTTTGTCCTCTTATGGCTGGCCTGTTTTCTATAGCACAATGCTTTCAAGGTTGTAGCAGGCATTAGACTCTATTCCTTCTCAAGGCTAACTAGGATTTTCTTGTGTGGCTGTTCTGCACTCTGATCAATTGTTCCCTGTGCTAAGTCGGAAAGCCTGCATCATGTCCTCTGTGTTTTGGCTCAGAGCTCCATGCTGCTCTGGAAGTGGGTTCTTGTATCTCCACTTGTGATCTGATGGGGAATGAATGACCGGAACCTCTCTCACAAGTTCCTTCTCAAAAGCCTCCGCTTCCCAACTTGTGAAATGAGGATGAGACTGCCCATTGCAGAAGCTAAGTGGGGAGGTCTGGTGGAGGGCGGAGCTTGGCAGCTGAGCATAAATGGGCTGCTGCTGCTGGTGGCAGCTGCTGGTGGCAGCAGCTGGTGGCGGCAGCATCTGCATTGAGAGAAGGGCCTGGAACCTGGAGGTGAGGATGCTCACTCTGACAAGCCCTATACCAAATGTCTATAACATCCAGATGAGGAAAAGGCATGAGAGAAGTTCCTCAGCTGTGGCACAATAGAGGACTAGAGACTGAACTGTCACCACTTTCTCTGTAGAGCCTTCTGGCATGGAAGCAAGCAAATCTCCCCATAGACTCAGAGTGGGATTTGAGGAGACAAAGGCCTGAGGCTTTCCAGGGCAAATTCAAAAAAGGACCCCCGAGGAGGAAGCAATGGCAACCTGTGGGCATATTTGAGGGTGGAGTCACATCATGCAGAACACCGCACCAAGTCAGGCCGTTGGGTCTAGGGGGACTCTGGTGAACTGGCCCAGATATTTCAAGGCATTAGTGAGACTAATTGGACGGAAGTGTGCCTTCCACAGTCTCTGCCTTCCCACACAGACAGTACCTAAGGTGTCGCCTGTCTGCCAGCATCACATATAAGGCCAGGGGCTCTCAGAAATCTCTTTCCTGGGGTTATTCCTTAATGTCCAAAATCTCACTGCCCAGACAGCTAGGGTTTGCTATTTCTTCTAATGATCAACTCCGTATATCTAAATGACACACTTGAATATCCTTCCTTCGGCTACCAGCTTGAGGTGTGATGGAACTGACCTTGCTCCCCGCAGTCACAGCGCTTGCCCCTCCCTTATCCTTTAGTTATAAAATAAAGTTTGGTTATTCTCATGATAGTGTTAAGACTGTGAAAACCTCAGCTGAGCCTTTTCATATGGTGATTAAGGTTTTGCTCTATGATCTGTATTTCTAAATCCCAAGTTTTAAACCCATGTGCTTCTTTTCCTAGGTACATTCATTTGTCCATGCGATGAATATCAGGGTAATCATCCCTGGCCCCTTAAGGTCCTGTTTTAAAATGGACCTTTGACCTCCATCTGCTGTAGAGCTCTGGGACATTCCCGAGGAGTCTTCGGTGTCAGAAGGTGGACAGGGCAAATAGAAAATTTCAAGTGTCACTCAGAAATGCCAGCTGCGTTCCTCTAGTTCTCAGAGAGGTCCACAACCCTCTGGGGCCAGAGGACAGAGAGGCATTAAAATCCCCACTCCCTTCAAAACACTCCTTGGCCAGTAAGATTGACAAAGATATGGATTGGGCCAGAGAGGAGCTTGGGGAAGTCCAGAGGAGCATTCTCGCATCAGTCCTTGGAGCGACGTCCAGGAGTATGGAAGCCTTTCTGTAGGAGACAATGTTAAAGATAACTGAACTCGCTAGGAGTTCTCCCAAAGTACCCAGAAGGGATTTCATGTGGAAAACATATACATAGCCACAGTCACAGGAACATGAGAATTCTTGGCCCATCTTGGGAATTTTGGGTAGTGAACAGCTGGGGTCGTGCAAGAGGAATCTGAACAAGCAGTGGGTAGGGTCTTGGGTGCTAGGCTGAGGATCTCAGGGACAGTGTGGGAGTCACAGAGGACCTTTAGGAGTCACATAGGTCATATACCACTGACCTCCTGGAGTGGCTCTGAGAAGCAAGACCCTGGCTGGACAGCCCACGGCATGGTGTCTGGAGCTTGAGAAATGTATCGTTTCATGATTTGCCATCATTTGGTGGGGAGAAAGGCAGCTATTTGAGGTGTGGAGGGAAAAAGAACGGTAGGGGTTTGGCCCTGGCTCCGAGGCTCTGAGGTGTATGATCCATGCTATTCCACAGACACCACTGAGCTCAGAAGAGCCACACACCTGGTAGGATGCTCAGCTCGGTCATTCTGAGGCTATCTGAACAGGGATCTCACGTTGTTAGTTTGTGCAGGGATCTACGCCATTAAGTAGTCACACTGTGAAAGAAGAGCCTGTTGAAAGGGAAGAGAAAGTGCTTTGGAAGCAAAGTGGACTTGGGTGAGTATACAAAGGCCCACAGGCACACAGGCTTGTTCAGCCTGTGTGAGCCATAGTTTTTTCTGACCAGAGAACTGGGTGTAGTGGGGTAGAGAACAGCGCAAAGTGGAAACCAATGAAAGGCTAGGGTGCTAAATGCAGCCCTAGAAATTCTGAATGCTCTGTACTGAACATGCAGGCAGCCTGCCAAGACTAGAAGGGGTAAAAGACGGTTCAAGAATAATTCCCAGATGGTGGTGGTGGTGGCGCTAACCTTTAATCCCAGCACTCAGGAGGCTGAGGCAGGTGGATCTCTATGAGTTCCAAGACAGACAAGGCTACACAGAGAACAAAAAAGAAGGAGAAAGAGGAGAAAAAGGAGAAGGAGAAGGAGGAAGAGAAGAAGTCCACAAAGGTCCTGGAGATGGAGCGATGTAGAATCTGAAGAGCTGTGTTCTACAGGTAGGAAAACAGGCAAAGGATGAAGCAGTAGAGCTGTGCTCAGATTTCCGGGCCTCAACACTCTTGCTTTCGTAGACTTCTTTCCCTCAAAAAAGCAAACGTATAAATATATATTTTACAGCTGCACTAGTGGAAAGGCAAATATCTCAATACTTTATGTTTACTTTCTTCCTCTTAGGGACTGATGTGCTACACCTACTGTACTTAATGGAGATGTCACTTTGATGTGGTTCACCAAGTTCCTTGGCTCTCCGCCTGGGATTCCTGGCTGATCCTAGAATGAGTGGACGGTCCTTGTTCTCTTCACAGCCCTGTTAGCAGGGTCCTGTTGTGCCTCTACGTCAAGTTCTCAAAAAGGAGCTGCTGACTTTTTGAGTCTGTAGCAGCACAAGTACCTGACTGGGCGGTCCAGGGTTCAAGAGGAAATCAACACGTCTCACATCTGCAGGTACCTGTGACTTTTCTCCTAATGTCACCTACGACAACGTCAACCCTGGGTGCCAAGCTACCTACGTGCCCCACCCGTGAAGTGGGTGTGGAGGTTTAGTCAGTGGCAGCTGCTAAGGAAACCGTCTGGAGAAAAGAAATACCATTATCTATGTTTGTCTGTGGCTCCAGGGTAAACTGTCTGGATATAGGGTGGGAAAGGAATGGCTGCAGGGGCCTCCAGAAAGGTGGCCTTTCCTTCATCGTCTCAGAAGATTGATCACTGGCAGCTCTGGCTCTCCTCCACTTAACCAGGGTGGTGACAGATGCCCTGAGTCATCAAAGTCAGTCCAGTCTTCCTACTGTCCCAGCTTTGGTTGCAGGATGTACCTAGATAGATGCGCAATAGAAAACACAGAAAGTGAGGGGGTGGACCCGTTTGGGAAAGAAAACTGGTTCGACCTAGCCCATTCCATAGGTCTCAATCTTCACATTTCTCCAGGGCCAAGATCCCTTCCTAGTTAGCGGGATGCATGAGCAGGCGATTGAATGTTCAACCTTTGCTGGTCCCATCTCTGTCCTCTGATTCCTAAGGTCAGGAGACGGAACACAAGTCTTTCTAAATGCAGCAAGAAAATTAATTAGAAAGGGAAACTGCAGATAAATTTAGACAAAAAAAAAAATGGGAAAACGGAGATGTGATGAAGACAGCATTCAGAATCTTGGTCACCCAGAGAAATAATCGAACGCATTACAAGGTCACATGTGGCCCCTGTGATTATTTCATGGTAAGAGTAAGAGCTAATGTTTCCATAGCAATTACTTTGGTCCTGGGCCAACCATATTTAAACATACGCCTTCATCTTTGTGTCTACCTGGGAGGCAGAAGCCTAGGTCAAGATGAGCGAGGCTGGGACGCAAAGATGGATGAACACAAGTAGCTCTTTTACATACTGTTTCTTTCTTGCTCTGGCTGTATGCTCCTCCTTCAGGGCTTTGGGGGAAAGATACGGTAATCTGCAAGGCTAAGAATCCTAAGAGATCTTAAAGACTGAGAGGGAAAGGAATGTGGACGCAGGAGCCTGGAATGCGGGAGATGGTCAGAGAGCTGGTCTGGCGAGAGGAACAAGGGTCAGGGAATGGGACCCTGCTATTTGAGACATCATGGGTGGAATGCAGCCTTCCAAGATAAAAGCCAGGTGTGGCTCTGAGTGTGGGTGGATGGATCTCAGTGAAGGTAAAAGTCCCTGGAGCTGAGGTCAAAAGAGCACCAGACGGAGCAATGCTGGTCTTTCTGGGACAAAAGGGATCTGGGGAAAGGTGTAACAAGCCTGTGTTTAAGTAAATTGCAGCTTCCTGTGGTACACATCTTACCAGAAGAGTTTGGGAATAGTGATTTTTTTTTTAATGCTCAAACAGAGAAATATACAAAAAAAGATCTCAAGGAGGGGTGCAGGCTTATCTTCCTCCAAGGTGGCCAACTGGAAAAGCACTAATCGAAGGATTACAGACTCTTATAAATGACAGCTACCAAAAGGACCAGAGACACAGGCTTCCTTCAATTTCTGTTCAATGATAATAATCTCAGAAGTTCCCTGGGGCCCCCTCATCCTTCCTGCTCTCAAGACTGCCCTTTGGGAAGCTGTGCTCCACTCTACAGTGCCTCAGAACAAACACACACAACATCTATGCTGGCCCCAGTGGACCGTAGCACTTTCCACATGAGCCTGCCAGGTAGCTGGTGTGTGCGTGTGTGTGTGCATGTGTGCATACACGTGTGTGTGCATGTATGTGTGCATATGCATGCGTGTGTGTGTGCGTATGTGTACGTGCATGTACACACACAGGTTCACAGAGGGGCATGCAGTGATGGGCACGAGGGAGGGTATATGTGGTACAGTCCACAACTTCCATAGGATGGCCTGGAAAACGCAGCACAGAAGATGGCCCCCATGGGCATGCGTACTCTAGAGCTGGCCTTGCTGGACTGCTGGTGAGGGAGGCAGTGAAAACAGCCCTGCGGCGGGAGGAAAGAGCAGAGGGGAGGTCCCTGGAGGCCTTTCTGAGTTCTGAAGATGATGGTCTCCCCTTTTACTTCCAGAATAATTCTAGGGACCAGGAAGGGCAATCAATAAGCTAGGAGCTGATGTTTGAACAGAGAGCTTGAAGCTTCTTGTGGGAGGCGAAGAGAGAGGCGTGCAGTGAGCCATATAAGATATCTGCCTCCAAGGAGTTGCCTTCTCAACGCTTAAACTCATATGTGATCAAAATGAGCAAAGTATGGTCGCCTGAACAGATTCTGTCCTTCTCACCACTGCCTGCCCTGCGGGTGAGCGTGTGGGCCACCTCCAGTCCCCAGCCACCATCCCCCTAGTTTGTGGTCCAGTTTAATTAAGAGCTCTGCCAGTCCATTAGTCTCAATCACCTCCCTAATTGGGCACCAGCTGTGTTTTCTCTTGACAAGGACTCCTTTATGGGGCTCCTAAAATGCGTGACATGAAGGAAAAAAAAAAAAGAAAAAGACCTAACAGTTTCGGGGTTATATGGTCATAAAACCAGGAATATTTGTTTTCGACACAAATGAAAAGTGCATCTCTCTCCCTCTCTGCCCCCCATCTCAGAAAATACCTCCTGAAAGGCTGGAAGGGAGGGAATTGAGTAACAAATTCTCCATTTGTTCGAGTTCTGAATATGAACGTTGATTGTGGTTTTGCATAATCACAGGTGTCAGTGCATAAAGACACGAGACGTTTCCTGGCAGAAATGTGAGACTGGAGAAATTGAGCCATGAATGGCTCCATTTATGGATCCTTACCCGTGATTGACAGAATGGCTATTAGGAGCGAATATTAGCAGCGCTCTTTGAATTGGCTGTGCCTCCTGCCAAGCACTTGACATGGATTATCTACTTTACGTCTGGCAAGAGACTGAGGTGTGTGTCCCCTCCCCCGTTTTCGCCGATCAGGGAAATGAGACCCAGAAAGGTGGCGTAATTCATGTTCAAGATCAAGCTGGTCACCCTGAGGTGGCCTTGTGCCAACATTCCTTTCTGCTTCTCTTCCCCTACACCATGGTGTTAGCTGATGGGGCCAACTTACTCCATTTGCAACAACGGCAGTATCAACAGTGACCCCCTCGGAGTTGTCCAGAGTTCACAGCCAGTATGGTCTTCTGCAATTGCTGTCTCACATGATATGAACGCCTTGTGAGATAAACAGGCAATGACCATAATCCTTATCCCGAAGGAGGGACCGAGGTAAAGGCAGGACTGTTTACCTGGGAGTGCACCGGCGGTGGACAGGAATGACCTTTCTGACTCTACTGCAAACCCATATATTCATTCTTTCCTCCACTGTCCGCCCTCCTCCAGCGTACAGGAAGAGGAAGCCAAACCTATAGATCCATTCATCCCTACAGGGGGTCACATCATATTTTTTCCCTAACCTTACTATTTATACATCTATTCAGCTTCTGCCCCAGATCTTGACTTGGAGCGTAAACTTCATACAGCAGGAACTTTTCTTCTTGTTGATTGTATTTCCAGGCCCCCAAATAATACATAGAATATAGACGTGTTTAACTGATAATATTGCTGAATTCATTCAAACGAATGTTAGTGTATTTATTTGATAAACACTGATGGAACACCTCCTGGGTGCCACTACGGTGAGGTCTCAGGGATACTCCAGTGACCTATGCTGGCCTGCTAACTACCTCAACAGAACTTTCATGCCAAAGGAACGAGTGGGGATTAGACAGACCAGTGGAGGAGACTCTTGCTAACTGGGAGTTATGGGATACGGGGCTTACTAGAGTGATAAGCCAGAAGGTCTTGTCTCAGAACTGTTCACATATGTGAACTGACTTTACAGCACACGAGAAGTTTCCTACTCATCTGGGCTTTGAACACTCAGACACAGTACACTTGAGTGAAGGACTTGGGAGTGTATAGGGCCAACCTGAGAAGGAAACTCCTGAGTGATGCAGAGGCCACACAGAAAAGCTGTGAAAGACCTCAGATCTCTGGAAGAGCAGATGGCAAAAGGCCAGCTGGCTCAGGGCATGAGTGGCCTAACCCAGTGCGTGAGGTGGCAAGAAGGAAAAAGAGGAAGGAGATGGCTGTGGCCCATGTCCAAAAGTACTATGTTAGATAGCAGTTTTACATGCCAGCTTGGCTAGGCTGTAGTGCCCAGGTCCTCAGACGTGTGAAGTCAGGTGAGGCTGTAAAGGCCTTCTGTAGATACAGTTTTTGTCTGTAAGCACTTGACTGTAAGTAAAGAAGATTATCCTTAGCCACTTGGCAGGAAGCTTCCCTGGAAAAGCAGAAACTCTGCCTGGGGTCCACAGCTACAGATCCGTGGTTTCCAGCTGGCCAACCTGTCCTGCAGGTTCCAGAATTGCAAGCCGGATCCCGCTGTTACAAACACAAAGTCCTTGAAATAAATCTTTTGGTAGATAGGTAAGTAGATAGATAGACAGACTCAAGCTGGCTCACCTCCCATCTTAGTTAGGGCTTTCATTGCTGTGAAGAGGCACCATGACCATGACAACTCTTATAACAAAAAACACTTAATTGGGAAGTGGCTAGCTTACAGTTTCAGAGGTTCAGTCCATTATCATCAAGGCATGGAGCAGGCAGACATGGTACTGGCTACATCTTGCCTTGCAGACAATGGGAAGTTGACTGACAGGCACACTGAGGAAAGTTCGAGCAAAATATCTCAAAGGCAGCCCCCACAGTGACCACTTCCTGGAACAAGACCACACCTCCAAATAGAGCCACTCCCTTTGAGGGTCATTTCCTTTCAAACCACAAAAGCCAACCACTGTGTTGTAAATACAAATCCGAACTGTTTAGTCCAACAAGAGTTATTGGGTGCTTACTCCCCACTAGGTCCTGAGTTTAGGGCTGAACAGTGAGCAAAGTTGTCCAAATGTTTCCCCTCACAGAGCTCATGGAGTAGGATCACTGTGGTGGCTTGGATCTAAAGGGTGTCCCATGTGATTCCTGCAGGTGCTGAGGACTCATTCCTAGCAAATTTCAAAAGGCGGAAACTTTAGATGGAGACCCTTATGGGGGAAGTAGGTCACTGGGAATGTGCCTTGGAAGCTCTGCCTGACACCTACCTTCTCTCCTTTCCTGACCACCCTGAGGAGAAAACGTTGTCCCTCACATACTACCACTATCATAAGCTGTTTTGCTGTCCCCTCCCCCCCAAAGCTCACAGCAACAGACCATGCCAGCCTGGGCCAAAGCCCCCGGAACCCTGACCCCAGATGAGTCTCACCTTCTTTTAAACCGTTTCCCTCAGATAAGAACCAGTCATCGCCGGAGCCTCAGTTTGAATCTTAGCTCTATGGCTTTCTACCACGTGAGAAGAGCCATTCTTATAGTTTGTACCTGTGAAGGTTTGAATGAAAATGGTCCCTATATAGGTTCAGAGAGAGTGTCACCATTAGGAGGTGTGGCCTTGTTGGAGTAGGTGTGGCCTTGTTGGGTGGACTTTGAAGATCTGAATGCTCAAGCCAGGTCTCTCTCTCTCTCTCTCTCTCTCTCTCTCTCTCTCTCTCTCTCTCTCTCTCTCTCTCTCTCTCTCCTCTTCCTGCTGCCTGCCAATCCAGATGTAGAACTCTCGGCTGCTCTCCAGCACCCATGTCTGCCTGCACGCTGCCCTGTTTCCCACCATGATGATAATGAACTAAACCTCTGAACTGTAAGCCAGCCCCAATGAAATGTTTTCCTTTATAAGAGTTGTTGTGGTCATGATGTCTCTTCACAGCAATAGAACACTGACCAAGACAGTACCTCTCTTTCCCTATCTAAAGATAAGAACAGTGACTTCCAAGAGTTTCTGTGAGAGTTAAGCAAAATAATATTCACAAAGCAGGCAATCATTGCAAATAATTGTTAATTCCAAGTTCTCCAATAATTCCATCAAGTTGGTCAACTTCTCTCGTTAGCACAGAAGGAAGTGAGGGTGTTGGAAAGTACAAATCCCAGAGAAAGCGGAGGTAGCTCCTTGTCCAAAGTGACCCAGATCACCAAAGGTGGACCAACATCAGAGTCCTGGACTGCCTAACTCCATTACTGGAAGGTAACTTATAGTGGCCTTGAGTTTTCCAAACACAGTTGGATCAGCTGCAGGCCACCAAAAAAGCATGTTCTTTGGTGTCTTATGCAACCAACCATATGGACCCACAAGCTCTTACATAATGGGCCCAGTGCTAGCAAGAGGAAGTTTAACAACAACACAAAAAACAGATCGCATTCACAATAGACCACCATATGTTCCCCTGCTCACTGACAGCAGCCATCCCCACTCCTACTCCAGCTCCCACAGAATCCTCAACAAAAACAGTCTATTCCCAAGTGACTCAAACGATTGATGGCTTTATAAAAAGAAGCAGGTGTGAGGACTAAGTGAGCCTTCAAAATAAACCCACAGTTATTAACTCCTTGGGAGAGCCTAGAAACCTTTAGCCTGCACGCCTTGGTCTTGCACAGCCCCTGGGGCTTCTCTGGAGACAGTCTCACCTAGATGACACAGATCACTTCTGCGAGGGAAGCTAAAATGATTCCAGTTTCCTTAACCACTAGCCAAACACCCCAGGTTGCTGGGCCATCCCTATATTTGGTCATGCAATCTCTGATGTCATGATGAGTTCATGCTTAGCCCGGGAGCCTCGAGTTTGCCGCAGGCTTTGCGAGAGTGCCGCTTCTGGGATAGAACACAGCTCCAGAAGGATGCTTTGAGTTGGGAGCATCGTGATGCGGGTCCCTTGACAACTCCAGGCCAGGCTCCACCTTCCCACCTGTTTCTGTGACCCACTCCCCAGCCATGGAGCCAAAGCACTCATGTAGCTCTGAATATAAATGGCATTCAGGGTCATTGAGTCCTTGAGCAGCTAGGGCAAACTCCACGTTCCCTACAGCTGTACCTACCACCTTCCCTTCTTCTCCTCCTGGGTACCGACATCCGTTCAACCTCTTAGACTCCAGCCTTGCAGGTGATCTTCTTGTGTCTCCAAATTGGCACTCGCTCTTTCGCTTCCTCCTCCCTCTCACAACCCATTCCTCTTCTTTCAAATCCCAGGTTAACTGTCGCCTCCCCTCAGGGGCTTGTCTGTCCTGTTCAGCCCCAGTTCAGCACCCCTGCTGGAGTCTGCCTATCATACAACTTTTCTTCACTCACAACAGAGCAGCGGCTGACTGAGTGCTCTGACTTGTGCGTGGTCCCTTTCTCCTGCTCAGTCAGCAGGCTCCGTGGCTAAGACGTAGCCTGGGGTAGGCACTTTTCGTATGTTTGTTAGGCAAGCAGAGAAATGAAAGGGCCAGGGAGAGAGCACAGACCAAGGCGGGGGCACCTCACTACAACCAGCTAAGCAGGAGAATGACCCCCTGGTGCTGGGCCACAGGCATCGCTGGACAAAGGTTCATATGACACCTGAGGCAGAGGCAGGAGGAAGAAGAACACCGGGAGGCTGAAATGTGCATCTCCACCCTCGTGTTTATTTGGCTCAGCTCCTCACTGCACTAGGGTCTCCATCCAAAGAGCCTTGGCCAGCACTGTAACATCTGACCTTTCTCCCTCTGTCCTCTCCCCCAGCTCTAGTCTCCTACAAAGTCCTTGTTCCTAATGATGTCATTGTTAGTGTGTGTGCATTTTGTGTGCATGTGTGCACATGAGTATGTACATGAATACATAATACATGTGTATGTGTGAATGTGTTATATGTGCATGTGTGGATGAGTATGTGTCTGAGGGTATTTGTGCATGTGTCTGTGAGTGTGTATGTGAATGTGTGTACATGTATATGTGTATGTATATGTGTGTGTGTATGTGTGTGCATGTGTGTGTTCCTCAGCACAGCACAGTGATTGTATACATCTTTCATTAGCCTGGGACTTGGGTCAGTTTTGACTCTTGTATCAGCAGCTCCTGGAACAAGCCTGATATGATAGTCCCTCTGCGCACGTGTGGACAAAGTTGCTTACTGAGTGGATAGCTGTGTCATTGTGCACTGGAAGAGTCTCTGCAGCCCCAGCATTGGAGGTTTAGGTCACATACCTCCCATCTCCTGGAGCTCATTTCAGCCCCAGTTTCCTCATTTAGGAACTGATATTTAAGAATAACAACTTTGAACATAGTTGAGCACATGTCCCTGTGACATGATTGAGCATTCTTTGGGTATATACCCAAAAGTGGTATTGCTGGGTCTTGAGGAAGGTTGTTTCCTA